TTCAAGACCAGCCTGGTCAACATAGCAAAACCCCATCTCTACTAAAAAAAAAAAATACAAAAATTAGCCAGGCTTGGTGGTGCGAGCCTTTAATCCCAGCTACTTGGGAGGCTGAGGCAGGAGAATCGCTTGAAGCTGGGAGGTGGAGGTTGCAGTGGGCCGAGATCATGCCACTGCACTCCAGTCGGGGGGACAGAGCGAGACTCCATCTCAAAAAAGAAAAAGAGAGAGAGAGAATCCAGAAATTAACCCTCATACACACACACAAAATTATTAAAAAACAACAAAAACCAGAAATTAACCCTCACATTTACAGTCAAATGATTTGGATAAGGGAGCTGGGATAATTCAATGGAGAAAGAAGAGTCTTCTCAGCAGACGGTGTTGGGATAATTGGACACCCTCATACAAAAGAATGAAGTTGGATCCTGCTGCACACCATGTACAAATATGAACTCAAAATGGATCAAAGACCTACATTTAAGAACTAAAACTATAAAACTCTTAGAAGAAAACATGTATTAGGTTTAAATCTTCATAATCTGAATGGGTCAGTGGGTTCTTAGCTATGCCACTGAAAACATAAGCAACAAAGTATCAATAGATAAACTGGATATCATCAAAATTTGAAACTTTTGTGTTTCAAAGACACCATCACAAATGTGAAAAGACAACTCACAGAATGGGACAATAAATTGTAAATCATTTAATAATAGACTTGTATCTAAAATATATAAAGAACACTTAGAGGCCAGGAGTGGTGGCTCACGCCTGCAATCCTAGTACTTTGTGAGACCCAGGTAGGCGGATTGCCTGAGCTCAGGAGTTCAAGACTAGCCTGGGCAACATGGTGAAACTCCGTTTCTACTAAAATACAAGAAATTAGTCAGGCGTAGCAGCATGCACCTGCCATCCCAGCTACTGGGGAGGCTGAGGCAGGAGAATTGCTTGAACCCGGGAGGCGGAGGTTGCAGTTTGCGATGACACTGCACTCCAGCCTGGGCAATACAGTGAGACTCCATCTCAAAAAAACAAAAACAAAAACAAAAACAAAAAAAACTATCTCTACAAAAAATACAAAAATTAGCTGGGCCTGGTGGTGTTCACCTGTAGTTCCAGCTACTTAGGAGGCTGAGGTGGGAGAACTGTGTCAGCCCAGGAGGTGAAGGTGGCGGTGAGCCGAGACTGCATCACTGCACTCCAGCCTGAGTGACAGAGCCAGACCCAGTCTCCAAAAAACAAACAAAAGAAACAAACAAAAAATGTCCCAATATCAATTGTAATGGTTGCACAACTCTGAGTATACTAAAAGTCGTTGAATTGTACACTTTAAATGAATGAGTTGTGAGTTATATGAATTATGTCTTCATATAGCTGGTAAAAATAAGAATACACATTCCAGAAACAATGCCTGGGTTCAAAATCTTGCTCCACTGCTGTGACCTTGGGCAAATCATTTCACCTATGCCTGCTTCCTCATCTGCCAAATGGGAAGAATAATAGAAGCTACCTCATACGGTTGTGAGCATTCAATGATCTCATGCTATATAAAATACTAAGCCTGCCACCTGGTAAGTTCCATCATTAACACAGTGAACTCCATGAAGGCAAGGGTTGTCTCTGTTTTCCTGATAATTATCTCCAGTGCTTGGACCCTAACAAGCAAATGATATAGTTAAAAAATTAATCTGGCCAGCCGCAGTGGCTCATACCTGTAATCCCAGCACTTTAGGAGGCTGAAGAAGGCGGATCACCTGAGGTTGGGAGTTTGAGACCAGCCTGAGCAACATGGAGAAACCCCATCTCTACTAAAAAAAAAATACAAAATTAGCCTGGCATGGTGGTGCATGCCTGTAATCCGAGCTACTCTGGAGGCTGAGGCAGGAGAATCGCTTGAACCTAGGAGGTGGAGGCGGAGGTTGTGTTGAGCCAAGATTGCACCATTGCACTCCAGCCTGGGCAGCAGAGCAAGATTCTGTCTCAAAAAAAAAAAAAAAATTATTCCATTTTCCCAGTATCAGTTTCTACTTTTTCAAATAGCTAAATTTCAACTGTTTCTCAACAACTTAAACTTACTACTGTTCCATGATATTCAGAAACCACTGCTTACTTCACCATCGCCATATATTTACCTACGACTGCAACCCAAATCACCCAAAACAGTTGGCGTTGCCTTCATCCTTTGTGACTTACCGAAAGTCAATTTACTGGATATCTAATATTTTTACCTGCTTAGCATCCATGGTTCTTCAATTTTCCTCTGGGAACTATTCCTTTCCTATTGCATGCTATTTTCATGGGATTGCCTATTAAGATGACTCTTCTGCCTTTTAGCCAAAGATGGGCACGTGACCCCTGCCAGGCTAATAAGACTCTAGCATTTGATTCTTGAGCAGCACGGCACAAGGACCCCAAAAATGGGTCCTTGTTTGGTTTTTCGTTTTGTTTTATTTGGAGATGGGGTCTCTGCCATGTTGCCTAGCTGGTTTCAAATGTCTGGCCTCAAGCGATCCTCCTGCATCAGCCTCTCAAGTAACTGGGACTACAGGTATGCACCACTGCACCTGGCTTGGGGGCCCATTTGTTTTTATGGTCTAAAAGGCTGTCTGTGTATACTAAGCAGACAGGGAAACACTTGATATTCTGGACAAAGGAAACTCTTACTGGACGCCCAGAAATTGGAGGACAGTTGCAAGCTCAATACAGGTAAGCAGTAACAGTGAAATTAGGTGGGCAGTAGAGAGACACGTGATCACATATTCCTGGGATACCTAAACTATAACTCAAACTATATAAGAGGAAAATTGGCCAGCTTAGACGCATGATGACACTAGAAGTACACACTTATTGTGTGTACACATTGAAGTGTACAAATTAAGTGTACACTTAAAATACTTAGTGAGTGTTAAGTAGTATCTCATTGTGTAGATGAAGTGAGAGTAATGGAAATTTAATATTGATTAGAAAATACAGGCCAGGTACTGGAGCTCTATGGAACCAGGAATTTGAAGGAGAGTGAAATCGGGAGAAGCATAGGGAAGAGAGATGGGCTGATAGGAGAGAAAAGGGGGTATGGAAAGAAAATGAATTTGGGGGCTGGAGTGAGTTTAATATTGGAGACAGCAGGGATGGGGTGAATGTCAAGGAAGATTGGAGTTCAATATTGAGACAATAATCAAGTCGGGGGAACAATGCAATGAATACTGAAATAAGGGGATCAAATGGGGCTGGATATTTAGGAGAATATTGAAGCCAATATTAAGATTGTAGAGGCAATAGGATCTAATAACAGTATAGTCATGGGAACCAGGTGTTGGAATTTGGGGTAGAAAATGGAGGCCCAGACTGGGCACAGTGGCTCATACCTGTAATCCCAGCACTTTAGGAGGCTGAGGCGGGTGGATCACTTGAGGTCAGGAGTTCAAGACCAGCCTGGCCAACATAGTGAAATCCTGTCTCTACTAAAAATACAAAAAAAGTTAGCCGGGCGTGGTGGCATATACCTGTAATGCCAGCTACTCGGGAGGCTGAGGCAGGAGAATTATTTGAACCCAGTAGGCAGAGGTTGCAGTGAGCCAAGATCAGGCCACTGCATTCGAGCCTGGGGCACAGAGTGAGTCTCAGTCTCAAAAAAAAAAAAAAAAAAAAAAAAAAAAAAATTAGCTGGGCATGGTGGCACGCACCTGTAGTCCCAGCTAGTTGGGAGGCTGAGGCATGAGAATTGCTTGAACCTGGGAGGTGGAGGTTGCAGTGAGCTGGCCACTGCACCACAGAGAGAGACTCCGTCTTGAAAAAAAAAGGAAAATGGAGGCCCAGATTTGTTGGTACAAAAAGGGCCATAATATTGTGGAACAGTGATCGAATGTTGAGGAACAGGGAACTTTGGTTTTGGGAAGAGAGGGACGAGTCTACTGTCAGGAGATTGGCTGAGGAAAGGAAGCTGGGGGATCATATCCTGAGTAGTCCCTGCTGGACTGGATGAGAGATAACAGGGGATGTGTGAAAGAGAGAAAATGAGATCAAATGTTTGGAGAGCGCTAGGCTATATGTTGGGAGTCTGTGAGTACTTAATACTAAGAGATAGCAGAAGATCGAATATCCAAGTTTGAAAGCTGGAAACCAGTGAGGGATAAATATTGTGGTCCTTTGGAGACAAATTTTTTTTTTTTTTTGAGACGGAGTCTTGCTCAGTCGCCCAGGCTGGAGTACTGTGGTGCGATCTCCGCTCACTGCAAGCTCTGCCTCCCAGGTTCACGCCATTCTTCTGCCTCAGCCTCCCGAGTAGCTGGGACTACAGGCGCCGGTCACCACGCCCGGCTAATTTTTTTTTTTTTTTTGTATTTTTAGTAGATACGGGGTTATACCATGTTAGCTAGGATGGTTTCAATCTCTTGACCTCGTGATCCACGGCGCCCGGCCTGGAGACATAATTTTGGGAAATAGTGCCACCGACTGCTGTGGGGAAATTGTTATAGTAAAGTGTGATTGTAAAGCACAAGCTGACATTGGGGAACAGTGGATGTCATACTTGTGGCACTGAAATAAGTGTCCGGGGACAAGATATCAAGGCACAGAGTGATATGGGATTGTGGGAAGTCAGAACTGAGAAATGGCAAGGCCCTGATATTGGAAAACAGGGAGCTTGTAAAGACCCACGGGGCAAATTCCAGAGCTTAGTTGGGGGACTGTACTTGGTTTTCGTAAAGGAAGCAAGTGGAGACCAAATACTGAGGGGCAGTAGGTAATACCACAATGGGATAGTGGCTGATCTGCCATGAAAGGATGGTAGACTCGGATACCGGCGTGTTGTGAGGACCAGATGTGGAGAAAGATGCCATTGAAGGGCCTTGTAGCTATTCAGTGGAGGGAGAGGCTGTATTTTGGAATACTGGGTCATAGGGTTAAGTCTGTTTTGGAGGGACAGCAGGGAATGCTGTGGAGCAGACTAGGAAGTTGGGCAGGGTCCACTGCAGAGTTGGAAATTAATGGAGAACTGAATATAGAGGAGACTGAAAAAGAGATAATTTATTCCATCAGAGGTATCACAATTACAGATTACAGACATTTGCAAGTAAAGACTATGCAGGGTTAGAGCGCTGCGTTTTGACATTTAACATTCATGAGTAAACAGAGATGGCCGGTGGGTAAGTATCTTGCCAAGGTGGTTTCGGGTATTAAGCCTTTTGAGTCTAAATTGACAAAGCCCTAGGGCTCAGATGGTTTTCCCGCACTAACCCTTGTCAATGATACATCCCTCAGCCCCTTTTGTCTTGGGTCCCACAGCTCCAGAAAGGCTCCGGGCCAGAACGAAGCCATCCTAGAGTCCCCAAGGACAGCCCTCCCGTGGACCCCGGCTAGGGCCCCAGAGTCTCATCCTGAGGAGTGCGCCAGCTCTGGGCCTACGTCCCAGTGGGGTTTGCAGCCACAGGTCCCGCAAGTCCCGGACACTTCCAGGGCGTGGTCTCCTGGTAAGACAGCTCCTCCGGCTTCTCCAGGCAGCGACAACAAAGTCTAAGGCAGGAAAAACGCACAGTCGTGGTCAGCCAGAGCCCCTGGGGGCGCAGCACAAAACCCCGACGAACGCCACTTACCGAGTCCCGCCCTCCAGCTACGCCTGCTGCGCGGTCTTGTCCTCTCTCAGCCGCGCCAACTCCGGGGCACAGCTGGCTCCTCCTGGGGGCGATGCAGCATCACAGGGCTCCGGCCCAGCCCGGGCCAGGGCGCCGACCCTCCCCGCGGGACCCTCTCTAGAAGGCCGCGGGTCTGGGTCTGGCTCATCCCTTAAAGAATCCAAGGTTGGGCGCACTCTGAGCTCCCCAAACACAAAATGATGGGCTCCCCGCGCGTGCCCCCGCGTCACAGAGTGGTAGGGGTCCAGCGACATTCTTCTAATTATAAACGGGGTTCAATCACACCCCAGAATTCTAAACGCCCCCAACCCTAACCTGCAGGTGCAAACAGCACCCTTATTTCATTGCCGGCAGCTACTCTGTACTTTCCAACTGATAGACAAAGATAGTGACAACAAAGAAGGAAAGAAGCATCGAAAGCTACATGAAGGGGGTGTGTTCCAAAACACAAAATGCCGAGCCCTGTTTTCCCTTTCCCTCCCCGCTCGGTCCTGCGCCCACCCCGTCCCGCGCTGGCCACTCAGGCAAGCTGTAAATGGATATAGGTAAAGATGCAGGAGGTGATGGAGAAGGCGATGGCTGCGTAGATGAAGATGGAGAGGTGCGGAAAATGGTCGAGATAGCAGCCCTCGACCAGTGGAGGCGCCTCCTCCTTGGGCTGGGGGCGCGATGCGGCCTTCGGGGGCTGCCCGGCGCGGCCCCCCTGCGCCCTCCCGCCCGCGCGGCGACCAGCCTTCCTGCCCGCGGCCGACGCGGACCTGGGCGCGCGGACAGCGGGAGGGTCTTCCGGGGGAGGCTTGTCAAACAGGCCTTCGGACTCGGGGTCCGGGCGAATCTGCTCGGGACCCCAGGGTCTGCGCTTAAAGAGTCCGTCAGCCATGGGCAGGATCGCGGGTAGGTGGGTCAGCTGGGTCTGGGTCGGAGCGCAGTGGGCGGTGGTCTGGGCTGCGGCTGTATTTCTACAGCCCCGGGTGGGGCGGAGCCAGAGGGGCAGGGGGCCTCTGCAGGGTCCGCCGGGCCTCTCAGCGGAGGCGCCGCTTCGCCTGGCTCCTCCTTCCGCCCCCAGCCTGTTGCAGACGCTGGCTCGCCGGGTTCCAGCTCCCAGGCCGGCGGCTCCGCAGTCTTTGCGCAGCAAGGTTTGTCTCCATGGCAACCAGACCGACGGCGCAAGGGGGAGGAGGCGCGAGCTTCCTGGGACCCCGGCTGGCTGGGACCCCGGGGCACGAGCAGGCTTGGCACCTAAGAAGCCGAAATGCAACCAGCCAGGCTCTCAGCTGCGTGGGGAGCTTCCCCAGGGCATATATCTCCTTTTAAAAGAAATATTTATTGTGTGGTCTGTTTTAAATGTTAATCTTAATACGTGAAAAAGCTAACACATCATCTTTGTAGAAAACTGGAAATTGAGAAAACAGTATAGGCAAAATCAGTGTAAAATAAAGCCTCCCACCATCCCAACGTCCAGAGATAATACAGCTAAAGAACTGGTACATTTCTCTGCCTTCTTTTTTTTTTTTCCTTTGTCTCTCCATCTACATCTGTATCTGTACAACCTGTTTTCTCTTCTTGCTCTTCACCCACAAAAGCAGGACTCCAGCCTTTTGAGCATCTCACATAGGATTAAGAACAAATCCTTCAAAGACCTGCCTCACCTAAGCCCATTTCTCAGACCCACCTGGGGTCTACTCAGGCCTCCTTGTCATCCACCAAGCCCGCTCTGGCTTCACCGGTACCGCCACAGGCTGCTGCGCACTAGCACCTCCTGGCGTCTCTGTTGCACCTGAGGTTCCAAGGCCGGCTGGTGCTCCCTCCTGGAATGGGGGGAGAACAATCACTTGGGTTTATTTGAGTCCCAGTAGATTGGAGGGCTCCGCTGGCCGGCTTTGTTAGTTGCAGCAAATCCAAACTGCATCAGACAACTCCCTGCCTCCTGCAAGTGAAAGGGTGGGGGTGAACCAAGGCCAGGGTGCTGAACACCGTAAGCAGGGTGCTGTCCCTCTCTATCTTACAGCGTTGCCAGCAACTTCTTGCATGGCCAGAGCCTACTAGGTAGTGGTAGGTACTCAGATTTTTGCTGAATGAGTGATGCAGTGAATAATGGCAGCAGCAAACTCTGGTTCTCACAGCTTAACCCCCTCAGCTAAAAGGGCTTCCAGTTGGCTGGATGAGGAGAAGACGGAACCCTCATCTGTGATCCTGGGAATGTAAAATGGTGCAGTTCCTTTTTTTTTTTTTTTTTTTTTTTTGAGATGGAGTCTTGCTCTGTTGTCCAGGCTGGGGTACAGTTGAGCGATCTCAGCTCACTGCAACCTCCGCCTCCTGGGTTCAAGCGATTCTCCTGCCTCAGCCTCTGAGTAGCTGAGATTACATGCGCACACCATCACACCTGGCTAATTTTTGGTGTTTGTAGTAGAGACAGGGTTTCACCACACTGGCCAAGCTGGTCTCGAACTTCCTGACCTCAAGTGATCCACCTGCCTCGGCCTCCCAAAGTGCTAGGATTACTGGCATGAGCCACTGTGCCCAGTCGGATGGAAGTATATGAAGGGTGAAATGGAAAGGTATGGAGGGTGGAATGGAAGGATGGTTTAGGTGGAGTGAAAGAATGTGAAGAATGGAATGGAAGGTTGCAAAAGGCAGAATGGAAGGACATGGAAGGACCAGAGTTTGAAAAGTGGAATGGGAGGATGTTTAGGGTGCAATGAAAGAGCTTGAAGGATGTCATGGAGGGGTGTGAAGGGTGGAATTGAAGGAAGGGTGTGAAGGGTGAAATGGGAGGATGCTTAGAGTGGAATGGAAAATGTGAAGAGAGAAACAGAAGGACACGTAGTGGACTGGAAGAGTGTCAAGGATGGAATACAAGGTGTGTAAGGTGGAGTGGAAGAATAGGAAGGTTGTAATGAAATGGTGTGAACAATGGAATGGAATGGTAGGAAGGGTGAAATGGAATTGTGTGATGGATGAATGGAAGGGTGTGAGGGGCATGAGCCACTGTGCCCAGTCGGATGGAAGTATATGAAGGTGAAATGGAAAGGTATGCGGAGGTGGGTGTGGGAATGGAAGGATGGTTTAGGTGGAGTGAAAGAATGTGAAGAACGGAATGGAAGGTTGCAAAAGGCAGAATGGAAGGACATGGAAGGACCAGAGTTTGAAAAGTGGAATGGGAGGATGTTTAGGGTGCAATGAAAGAGCTTGAAGGATGTCATGGAGGGGTGTGAAGGGTGGAATTGAAGGCGGGTGTGGGAAGGGTGAAATGGGAGGATGCTTAGAGGGAATGAAAATGTGAAGAGAGAAACAGAAGGACACGTAGTGGACTGGAAGAGTGTCAAGGATGGAATACAAGGTGTGTAAGGTGGAGTGGAAGAATAGGAAGGTTGTAATGAAATGGTGTGAACAATGGAATGGAATGGTAGGAAGGGTGAAATGGAATTGTGTGATGGATGAATGGAAGGGTGTGAGGCTAGAATGGAAGGGTGTGAAGGTGAAATGAATTGTGTGATGGATGAATGGAAGGGTGTGAGGCTAGAATGGAAGGGTGTGAAGGGTGAAATGGAATTGTGTGATGGATGAATGGAAGGGTGTGAGGCTAGAATGGAAAGGTGTGAAGGGTGAAATGGAATTGTGTGATGGATGAACGGAAGGGTGTGAGGCTAGAATGAAAGGGTGTGTAGGGTGCAATGGGAGGGTTTTCAGGGTGGAATGGAAGGGTATGTGGAGTGGGATGGAAGAGCTTTATGTAAGGCTGTGGCATTGAGAAAGTCACCCAAACTGACCGATGAGGTTTAAGTGGGAGTAGGTAGTCGAGAAGTCTCAGTAACCAAGAGGGTCTCGGGCAGAACCATGCAAAGGCTTACTGCGGCGGAGCTGGGTGTGAGGAGTGCAGGTGTTAAAAATGCTTTAGTAACTGCAGGGCCTTTTGCATATTGAGAAGATGTGAGGCTAAATCCAGAGCTCAGACAGCAGAGGCCCAGGTGTCTCTAGGATACCTTGTTATTTTTTACCTGGTGTATGTGTACAGAAATGAATATATTGCAAAACCGTGCTGGCCCCAGCCCAGGTGACCCCTGGGGGCTCTATCTGTCAGGAATTGAGAGCGCTTGACTTACTCCATGGCCTCACCCTGGTGCAAGCTATGCCTGTGCCCCGCAACAAGAGCTAACTTTGTCCCAGGCCAGGGACTTTAGGACCCCTAGACATCCCTGACAGGACAGTTACCAGAAGGTCCCAAGCTACAACTTCACTCTCTGCTCGGCACCTGAGTGTTCCAGGAAAAATCTCATGAGTCCAGGGCCTGGAGCCAGCATCCGCCAAAAGACCCCGAATGGACAAAGGTTGCCTTTAGCTCCTGTTTCTGGGACCTGCCCAGAGTACACACCCCTCTCAGAGGTGAGAGAGGCCTCTTCTAGGAGGATCTTTGCTCCTGGGCTATACTTTGATAGGTTTTCTTCATCCATTTAGGGATTCATTCTGCCTCTGGAAGAAAGATACACTGTCTGAGTCAATAGGAATCAGGGATTTGAGGCCAAAGCCTGGATGTGGACAATGGCCAGTTGACCGTGTTGGTGACCCCCTCTATGAGGAATCCTAGGACACACGTGAATCATAACAGCAGCAGCAGCAATCACTGAGCACTGACTGTGTGCTAGGAACTGTGCTCAACATTTCTGCAGAGATGGTCTCACTTCATTTTCATGACCCCCTAAATTGGGCACCAATATTTTCTCCAATGTTCCAATGAGGAAACTGAGGCTGAGAAGTGAAGGAATCTAAAATCTGCTGCTAATGCTGACTGCTGGGGGTCGGGTATGGTGGTTCACGTTTGTAATCCCAGCACTTTGGGAGGCTGAGGTGGGTGGATCACCCGAGGTCAGGAGTTCGAGACCAGTGTGGTCAACATGGCAAAACCACCTTCTACTAAAAATACAAAAATTAGCTAGGCGTGGTGGCGCATGCTATAATCCCAGCTACTCTGGAGGCTGAGGCACGAGAATCCCTTGAACCTGGGAGGCGCAGGTTGTAGTGAGCTGAGATCGCACCACTGCATACCAACCTGGGTGATAGACTGAGACTCTGTCTCAAAAAAATATGGACTATACTAGAATAAAATAAAATAAAATAGAATAGAATAAATACCGACTGCTGGGGCTGTAACACATGTCTCTCGGACCCAGGGGTAAGAAGTATACCTCCCAATCCCCACCCCCTCAGCTACCCACCCAGGCTTGCTCACCATCAAAGACGGTGTCCTGTTAGCCTTTCCCAGGTCACATCCTGGGCCTCACCCTGCAGCAAAACAGACTTGGTCCCTTTAGAACGTGTGCACAGAGCAAGAGGCAAAATTCACAAAGGCCACTTTTAGCTCGAAGTGTTCATGCCCAGCTGAGGAAACAAGCTTTGGTGGTGGTGGTGGTGGTGGTGGCGGTGGTGGTGGGATGTATGTGTCCATGGGTGGGTGGGAGAGAAGGACCTTGCAGGAATCTCTGCTGCCTGGGCTAGAGCTGTTCGTTATCCTGGAAACCATGGTGGCTTTGAAACTGGCTGCCGAATTTCTCTCCTGCCAATTTCTAATTTCTGTGCATGCCCTGGCTGGGAGAAGGGAAGTCAAGCCAGGAATCTCCCCTTTCCACAGGTCCACTACCCAAACCCACAGTTGATGGGAAACCTCCAAGTGTATTGCAACTTCTACACCAGGATGTGCCTGGATAGGCCTAGTCACCTGCTGAAGGTGCTGTGGTACTTCTAGCCCAATGCAGGGTCAGCTGCCTGCCCCACCCTGAGAGGCTTCTGGGAGTTCACATCCAATGCTGACCATCCCTGTGCTCCACCCAGTCCCCTGCTGGGGATAGGGGTAGCAGTGGTTGCTGAGCAAGGCAGAGAAGGGGGGGCTGAGAAAAGCCTGGGGCTCCATGGGGCAGACAGCGGGAAGCCAAGAACCTGTCTGGGGGCTGTGAGGTGGCACCTGGCAGGCGGGATTCCACATGAGCTGTGGCTCCAAGCCTCCCTATCCTCCCTTCCTGCCCCTATGCACGCTCCAGGTCCCATCAGACTTCACTTACAAAGCACACATTCAAAGATACAATTATTAAGAATTTCAAGGCAGTGACTGCCACGCATTAAACCCCAAGCATGGGGGCCTACTGCCATTGCACAGGTTGCACCTCCAGGAAGCTGGCCCTACTCACAGCCTACCGCAGGTCTAGTTTAGCCTAGCTGGGCACTGATGGCTTCTTCCTGCTCAGTGCTGTGGTTCTGCATCAGATGTTTAGCTTTCCACGGTGTGTTTTCTCCCACTAGAGAGAACTCAGCACTTCCAGCATCTCAGCTTCAATCCAGGGCCCAGCAGAACTCACCACTCTGGACATTTTCATCCTCTTCCCCGTTTTCTTTCACACACACAGACCTCTGCTCTCTGCATATGGTCTTCCTCAGAGAGAACAGATTTGGTTACTTTTGCTCTGTCCTCTTCTCTTTGTGCCGCCCCTATAGAACAAGAATCATCAAACAGGGTCAGGCGTGGTGGCTCACACCTGTAATCCCAGCACTTTGGGAGGCTGATGCGGGTGGATTGCCTGAGGTCAGGAGTTCGAGACCAGCCCGACCAACATGGTGAAACCCCGTCTCTACTAAAAATACAAAGTTAGCCGGGCATGGGAGTGGGTGCCTGTAATCCCAGTTACCCGGGAGGCTAAGGCAGGAGAATTGCTGGAATTTAAGAGGTGGAGGTTGCCGTGAGCCGA